GAAGGCCCCTTGACCTTGGGCTTCAGCTCTGCCTCTTGTTACAGACCCACTGGAGCTGGAGGCATCTCCTACCTCAGGCAGCTGCTGGTTGCTGAGGCTGATGAACCCGAGGTCAGCATGTAAAATGGCACAGTCCCCAAATCAGTAGGCAACACAGCAGGTCACTGATTCAAGTCCAGGAACAACCCCAAGATTATCAGGCAACATGGCAGGCCATTGGTTCAAGTCCAGGAACTGGAGATTAAGACTCCACCAAATGCAGGATCCAGATGTGCCCAAAAGAATTGAATGCCACAGCTTGGTCAGGCACACCTCCCTCTTCAAAGTGACAGCTTTGCTCTTTAAGGAGGTATTTTGCAGCAGATTTGCACAATGCAATACATTGATTTCTTGACTGCTGCTTCCATGGGCACTGATTGTGGATCTAACTAATAAAATCCTTGACAACTTCAATCTTTTCTCCATATATTGTGATGTTGCTTATTGGTCCAGTGTGATGATTTTCATTTTATGTTGAAATGTAGTCCATACTGAAAGCTCTAGTCTTTGATCTTCATCAGTAAGTACTTCAAGTCTTCTTTGCTTTCAGCAAGCAAGATTGTGCCATCTGCCTATTGCAGGTTGTCAATGAGTCTTCTTGTAATCCTGATGCTACATTCTTCTTCCTACAGTCCAGCTTCTCAGATTATTTGCTCAGCACACAGATTGAATAAGGATGGTGAAAGGATACAACCCTGATGCAAATCTTTCCTGATTTTAAACCATGCAGTATTCCCTTATTCTGTTCAAATGACTGCCTCTTGGTTTATGTATAGGTTCTGCATGAGCACAGTTAAGTGTTCAGGAATTCCTATTCTTCCTCAATGTTATCCATAATTTATATGATCCACACAGTTGAATGCCTTTCCATAGGCATTCAAGACATTCAACTGTGTGGATTATATAAATTATGGATAACATTGGGAAGAATAGGAATTCCAGAACACTTAGTTGGGGAGGCCCCCAACAAGATGGATTGACACGGTGACTGCAGAGATGGGCTCAGGTTTAGTAGGGATTGTGAGGCTGGCAGGACCAGGCAGTGTTTTGTTCTGTTGTACATGAAATCACTATGAGTTGGAGATGACTCGATGGCACATAACAACAACAACACAGTTGAATGCCTTTGCATAGTGTCAATGAAACACATGCAAACATCTTTCTGGTATTCTCTGTTTTCAGTCAAAATCCATGCGACATCAACAAGGATAACCCTTGATCTACATCCTCTTCTGAATCTGGCTTGAATTTCTGGAAGTTCCCTGTTGATATAGTGCTGCAACCCATTTTTGAATTATTTTCAGCAAAATTACTTGCATATGATATTAATGGTATTGTTTGATAATTTCTGCATTCTTTTGGATCACCTTTCTTTGGAATGGGCATAAATATGTATCTCTTCTAGTTGGCTGGTGTGGTAGTTACATTGTGTGTTAACTTGGGTGGGCCTGCTTTTGAGTGGCTGGGCAACTAGATGTAGTTATTCCCCATGATAAGACTGGTAATCAACTTCATGGTAGAATCTACTGAGAGCAGGTGAGTAGCTGCCTTAAGGATGTAGTCGGCTTCCAGTATGTAAGAACCTTTGAAAAAGATCTCTGCAGGTTTTTGGCACACTTGGACCCTCCATGTAGCTGAGTCTTTGTCCAGTGGCCTGCCACATTGTCTGCTGATCTTGGGACTGTTAATGGACTTGAACTAGTGGCTTACCATGTTGTTTGATAATTTTGAGACTGTGCCATTTTATCTGTTGACTTTGGGTTTGTCAGCCTCAGCAGCCAGCAACTGCCTGAGTTAAGATAAGCCTCCAGCTTCAGTGGGCTGGAAGCAAGATGCTAAGCTGAAGCCGAACGTCAAGGGGCCTTCATCCAGCCCCTAGAGTTGGCACTTGAACTTGGACTTCTAGCTTCCGAAACTGTAAGAGAATAAATCCCTGTTTGTCAAAGCCTCCCATTTGTGATATTTTCTGTTAGAGCAGAACTAGAGAACCAAAACAGTTGGCCAAGTGTCTTCCAAATTTCTTGGCATAGATGAGTGAGCACTTCCAGCATTGCATCCATTTGTTGAAACATCTGTTTGTATTTAATCAATTACTAGAGTCTCGTTTTTCCCGTGCTTTCAGTGGACCTTGGAATTCTTCGTTTAGTACCATTAATTCTTAATCATATCCTACCTCCTGAAATAGTTGAATGTCAGCCAATTCTTTTTGGCACAGGGACTCTGTTGTCCTATCTTCTGTGATGTTTCATGTGTCATTCAATGTTTTGCCCACAGAATCCTTCAATATTGGGATTTGAGGTTTGATTTTTTCTTCCATTCTTTTAGCTTGAAAAATGCCAATCATGTTCTCCCTTTTTGATTTTCTAACTTCAAGTCTTTGCACATTTCATTATAATACTTTGCTTTGTTTTCTTGAGCTGCCCTTTGAAATTGTCTGTTTAGCTGTTTTACATCATTTTTCATCATTTCTTCAACTCACTTTAGCTACTCTCCATTAAAGAGCAAGTTTCAATCCCTCCTCTGATATCCATTTTGGTCTTTTCTTTCTTTTCTATGTTTTAAATGACCTTTTGCTTTCTTCATGTATGATGTCCTTGATGCCACACCACAACTCATTTGGTCTTCAGTCATTGCTATTCAATGCATCAAATCTATTGTTCAGATAGTCTCTAAAATTAGGTGTGATATACTCAAGGTCATGTTTTGGCTCTTGTGGACTTGTTTTAATTTTCTTCAGCTTCGACTTAAACTTGTATATGAACAATTGGTCTATTCCACAGACAGTCTCTGGCCTTGTTCTGACTGATACTGAGCTTCTCCATAGTTTCTTCCACAGATGTAGTCAACTTGACTTCTGTGTATTCCATCTGGTGAGGTCCACATGTATATGTAGTCACCATTTTTATTGTTGAAAAAGTTATTGGCAATGAATAATTCATTGGTCTTGCAAAATTCTGTCATGGGATCTCTGACATCATTTCTGTCACCAAAGCTATGTTTTCCAACTACCAATGCCTCTTCTTTGTTTCCAATTTTTGCATTCCAATCACCAGTAATTATCAATGCACCTTGATTGCATGTTTGATCAATTTCATACTGCAGAAGTTGGTAAAAATCTTCAATTTCTTCATCTTTGGCTTTAGTAGTTGGTGCATAAATTTGAATAATAGTTATATTACTAGTCTTCCTTGTAAGCATATGGATATTATCCTAACATGGACAACATTGCACTTCAGGATAGATTTGGAAATGTTCTTTTCAACAATGAATGTGATGATGTGCTTCTTCAATTTGTCATTCCTGGCATAGTAGACCATAAGACTATTTGCATTTAAATAGCCAATACCAGTCCTTTTCAGCTCACTAATGCCTAAGATATCAATCTTTATGTATTTCATTTCATTTCTGATGACTTCCAATTTTCCTAGATTCATACTTCATACATTCCGTGTTCTGATTATTAATGAATGTTTGCAGCTATTTCTTCTTATTTTGAGTCATGCCACCTGGGACCTTAGTAGAAATGTAGACTCTCAGGATCCACCTCAGACCTGCTGAAATGGAATCTGAATTTTAATGAGATATTCTCAGGTGATTGCAAATTAAAGTCAAAAAAGCCCTGGTCTTGGGCAATGGTTTTCAACCTTGGCTTAGTATTCTAATCATCTGAATCACTAAAAACTACTGATGCCTGAGCCCTACTCCCATTCTGAATTAATTGTTTTGAAGTGAGTCTAGACATCGGTAATGGTGTAGAGGGAAAGTGACTGACTTATTCATTATTTTTGACGGATGGCTAAGATTAGAAGCTTATCTCTGTCTCTTGGTGCAAGGAGAGTGACATGTTGATATTATCACCTTCACCTTATTTCAGAACAGCAGCTTTCAGTTCCTCATTTGTGGTTTTAAGTGAGACCTTTGTCTTAGTTACCTAGTACAACCATAGCATGAGTGCCACATGTGAGTGGCTTTAAAGAACAGAAATTAATATTTTCAAAATTTTGGAGATTAAAAGTCCAAATCAGAGTCTTGGCTGTGTCAATATTTTCACTGTTGGCAGCCCTGGGTATTCCTTGATGCCCTTGGCTTTTAGGTGATCTTCACATGGATCTTCCCCCATATTTGTGTCTCTGTATCTATTCTGCTGTCTTTATAACTCAGAAGTGATTAGGTTTAGGACCCACACTATTTGGGCAAAAGTAAAACCCTGTTTCCAAATACTGTCACCAACCAAAAAAATACAAACCTGTTATCATTGAGTTGATTCTAACTCGTGGCAGCTCCATGTGTTACAGAATAAAACTGAGTTCCATAAGACTTCCATAGGTACAGGGTCCAGGAATTCAACACATTTTTTGGGGGGAAAATAATTCAATCCAAAACAATCTTCAAGGTGACTGCTTTTCACTTGCAGGAAATGCACTGGTTCCAGGCTGGTTCTGACAGTCTCAGCAGCAGGGAATAAAAACTGAAAAGTGTTAGTCTCTTGAAGAAATGGCTTCTGCTCTTTTTTCCAACAGGAGCCAGTGAACTTTGTCAGAAGAAAGGTCAAGAGAGGGAAGAGAGTGACTCTGAGAATTTTAGGGTCAGTTTCTGGGTGGGCACAGGGAAAGCCCTGTACACAGGGTTCTGGGGAGCAGAGGAGCTCAGACTGGGCACTGCCGCCCATCCTCTACTCAAAAAGCTTATGAGTTTCAATATTCACACCTCTGATGCTTCCATACCCACTGACTGACACTTATTTCCAGGGTGACTCCATTGCAAAGGTGGGGTGCAAGCTAATCTCTGAGTGTGACCCCAAACATACCCACCATGAACCTGAAGTTCAGCCCACAATAGAACAATAGAATAGTATGAAAGCATGTTAGAGTAACAACAGCTAACCGATACCAACGAAAGACTCTAGAAAGGTATAGAGAGCATATCCGGATTTTCACTGACCCCTGGGCTCTCTCTTACAGCTGAAGTCCCGGGTTCTCATGACTCCTTTAGCCCTCTCACCTCCACGGAGTACCCCTGAGCCTGACCTCAGCAACATCCCTCAGGATGCAGCCACTATACCCAGCTTGGCAGCCCCACAGGCTCTCACAGGTAGGTCAGCTGCAAGGCTGCAATGGCCAACAGATAACAAAGCAGCCCATCATCTAACAAAACCTCTTCAGGTGAAAGAGCTGCCACCCTAGAAAGCACCACATGAAGGACATTTTGTGTCTGTTAGCTGGAAGAATCTGAGAACATGAGTTTAAATGTCTTGCAGCTTGGGTTATTTGAACCTTGGTTTTCAATGAATCTTTGGCTCACCTGGCTGTTTTGGGATGGGACAAGAAAGAGTGGTTGATGATTGTTTGTACCAATAGTAAGCCTGATCACCTTGAAAAAAGTCTTTCCATTGCCTGCATTTGAACTTCCAGATCTCCTAAGGATCCTAACTTCCCTTAGTCCCACCCAGCACCCTCTGGTCAAGTGAAAGTAGTGTGCATCTCATCCCTCAGCCAAGAGTGTCATCATGATAGTGATACAAATCAAATCCCATCACATACACATTTCCACAGTCCTATTTCACTACAACCATAGCCCCCACTCCAACTGTACTTGAATCCCTTCAACCTCTTCCCATTGCTCTTAGTAAAGACCAAACTTCTTAGTATGGTGATAATGTCCTGCACACTCTATCCCCCATGACCAGCCACATTGCTCTTCTGTTTGCTAGGACTGGCCATTTTGGAACTCATGAAAATGAAATGGAATGCATAAAGATTAATATCCTAGACATTAACAAAAACAAACTCACTGCTGTCGAGTCAAACCCGACTCATAGTGACCCTTCCTTGGGTTTCTGAGGCAGTATCGCTACGGGAAGTAGATTGCCCAACGTTCCTTCTGAGGTGTCACTGGTAGGTTTGAACCACCAGCCTTCTGGTTAGCAGTCAAACGCCTTAAGCACTATGCTACCAGAACTCCTAGTGAGCTGAAATGGACTGGTATTGACCATTTGAAATGAAACAAACATTCCTATGCCAGGAATGACAAATTGAAGAGGAATGGAATAGCAGTCATCATCCAAAAGAACATTTCAAGATCTATCCTGAAGCACAAAGCTATCAGTGATAGGATAATATCAATACACCTACAAGAAGACAAATGAGTATGACTGTTATTCAAATTCACACATGAACTGATAATACCAAAGATGAAGAAATTGAAGATTTTTAGCAACTTCTGCAATCTGAAATTGATCAAATATGCAATCAAAATGCATTGATAATTACTGGTGATTGGAATATGAATACCAAAGGATAGCTCAAGAAGACAGGTATTATAATGAAATGTGTAATGACCTGGAGTTAAAAAATCAAAAGTGAAGAACATGATTGGCATTTCTCAAGGTGAAAAAAGCAGAAGAAAAAATTCAAGCCTTGGGTTGCAATATTGAAGGATTCTGTGGGCAAAATATTGAAAAATGCAGAAAGCATCGAAAGAAGTTGGAAGGGATACATTGAGTCAATGTACCAAAAAGAACTGGTCAATGTTCAACCATTTCAGGAGGTAGTATATGATCAAGAATCATTGAAGGAAGAAGTCTGTGCTCCACTGAAGACACTGGGGAAAAACAAGACTCTAGGAATTGATGGAATGCCAGCTGAGATGTTTCAACAAATGGATGCAATGCTGGAAGTGCTCACTTGTCTATGCCAAAAAATTTGGAAGACAAATACCTGACTGACTGACGAAGAGATCCATATATATGTCTGTTCCAAAGAAAGGTGATCCAGCATGTGGAGATTATGAAACAATCTCATTAATAATACACACAAGTAAAATTGTGCCAAAGATAATTCAAAATTATCAACAGTTGCATCTATATATCAACAGGGAGCTGCCAGAAATTCAAGCCAGATTCAGAAAAGGATGTGGAACAAGGGATATCATTGCTGATGTCAGATGGATCTTGGCTGCAAGCAAAGAATATTAGAAAGATGGTTACCTGTGTTTTATTGACTATACAAAGGCATTTGACTGTGTGGATCATAACAAATTAGGGATAACATCAGGAAGAATGGGAATTCCAGAACACATAATTGTGCTCATGCAGAGCCTGTACATAGACCAAGAGGCAGTCTTTTGAAGAGAACAAGGGAATACTGTGTGGTTTAAAGTCAGGAAAGATGTGTGTCAGGGTTGTATCCTTTCACCATCCTTGTTCAATATGTATGCTGAGCAAATAATCTGAGAAGCTGGACTATATGAAGAGGAATGCAGCATTAAGATTACAAGAAAACCCACTGATGGTCTGTAATATGCAGATGACACAACCTTCCTTGCTGAAAGCAAAGAAAACTTGAAGCACTTACTGATGAAGATCAAAGATTAGAGCCTTCAGTATGGATTACATCTCAACATAAAGAAAACAAAAATCCTCACAACTGGACCAACAAGCAACATCATGATAAATGGAGAAAAGATTGTACTTGTCAAGGATTTAATTTTACTTGGGTCCACAATCAACACCCATAGAAATAGCCATCAAGAAATCAAACAGTGTATTGCACTGGAAAATCTGCTACAAAGGACTTCATTAGAGTGTTAAAAAGCAAAGTCGTCACTTTGAAGACTAAGGTTCACTTAACCCAAATCATGGGATTTTCAATCACCACATATGCATGCAAAAGCTGGGCAATGAAGAATGAAGACCCAAGAAGAATTGATGCCTTTGAATTATGATGTTGGTGAACAATAGTGAATATTTCATGGACTGCCAGGAGAATGAAGAAATCTGTCTTGGAAGAAGTAGAGCCAGAATTTTCCTTAGGTGAAACTTCACCTCACATACTTTGGACATCTTATCAGGAAGAACCACTCCTTGGAGAAAGAGCATCATACTTGGTAGAGGGTCAGCAAAAAAGGGAAAGACCCTTGTGATGCATTGACACAGTGGCTGCGACAATGAGCTCTCATAAAGCAAAGATAGGATGGCACAGGACCAGGCAGTGTTTCATTCTTTTGTACACAGGGCCACTATGAGTTAGAACTGACTCCATGGCACCTAACAACAGCAAGATCGGTCATATTCGCTTCCCTCTATCTAGAAGATCTTCCCTTCCTTTCACCCTCTTCCTCCCTTACATCTCAGCTCAAGCATCTCTCTCTTCAGGAAGCCTTCATTGAATGTTCTCCCAGGGTCAAATTCCCCTAATGTGGACTCTTCTAACACCTTCCTAGTATTTCCCACAGCAGCAGTCTCACATCTGTTTGTGTGCTTCTCCAAGTAGGACTGTGGGCCATTAGCTCTGTGAAGGAAGGAACTGTGTCTATTTGGTTTGCCATTTTCTCTGTAGGTCTTAGCACAGTGCCTAGCATGAAGGTTCCTTATTAAGTGGCATGTCCTTAATTGTCTGGGATGAATGGAAACAAAGGTAGCCTGTAGAGTAAAAAGAGCACAGGCCTTGTCCTCAGAGAGACTAGACTGCAAATCCCTGTCCCACCACTTATTACACACTTCGAGCTGTCATTTAGCAACTCTGAGCCAGCCTCAGTTTCTTCCTTAGTACAACAGTAATAATACTGAACTCATGCTGTTGTCTTGAGAATCAAATAAAATATATAAAACATTTGTCATTGGGTCTGTTCTGACTCATGGCCACCCCACGTGCGTCAGAATAGAATTTTACTTTGTAGGATTTTCAATGGCTGTGATCTTTTGGAAGTAGATCACAAGGGCTTTCTTCAAAGGCATCTCTGAGTGGGCTCAAATAGCTAACCTTTCACTTAGCAGCAAGGCACATGAACTGTTTACACCACTCAGGGACAAAGTATATAAAGTGCCCAGTATAATAAGAGGCGCTCAATAAAAAATTTTTTTTTCCTTTGTTGTTATTCTTCAACCCTTCCAAAACACTATTGGTCTCATCATAAAGTCCCTCTTCAGCAATCCTTTGTGTAGGTGGTCTCCAAGTTAAGATGCACATTACCCTGATGGGGTTGGAGTAGGGTGGGAGGATGGTACAGAAGAGGAGTCATTAACATATACAGTATGTGAAAACCTGTGAAAGCTGGAACCTGTATAAGGCGGAAACCTGTCATAGAAGGAAAATGCAAATATTTTCCACTAAAATGAGCAATGGAAAAGTGGTAAGACTGCACCCTGTCAAAGGCAAAGAAGACTTGCAAGACCCAGAAAAACAAGGCAGCTCGGCTTCTCACAGTTTTCACTGTATTAGAACATATGCCACTTACTTTTAATATCTATTTTTATTTCATCTTTTTGAAATTTCTATTTCTTGGGTATGTTTTTAAATGCACACAATGCATTAATGAAACCAAGAATGTACATAACTTATAAACAAATACATTTTGAGGCATGTGCTCAAAAAATTTTTTTTAGTGATGGGTATTATTTTTAAAGTGTGGAGATCATTGATTGGGTTCACCTGACTGGGAAGCTGAGCATCTATTTCCTTGAGCTGGATTTCCCCATAGGAGCTCTGGTAGCACAATAGTTAAAGCTTTTGGCTGTGAATCAAAAGTCAGCTGTTTGAACCTCCCAGCTCCTCCACAGGAGAAAGATGAGACAGTCTGCTTTTGTAAAGATTTACAGCCTTGGGAACATTATGGGACAGTCTACTCTAGCGTAGTGCCTAAGGCACTTGGCTGCTAACCAGAAGGCTGGCGGTTCAAACCCACCAGCCACTCCTCGGAAGGAAGGTTGGGCAATCTACTTCTGTAGTGATACTGCCTCAGAAACCCAAGGAGGGGTCACTGTGAGTCGGGTCCGACTCGAGAGCAAACAACAACAACAACAACAACTCTGTTCTGTAGGGTCACTAAGTCGGAATTGACCTGATGGCAGTGAGTTGTTTTTTTTTTTTTTGTATTAAATTTCCTGTAATTGTCTTGGATGAGTGCAAGAGAAGACAGCACTCTTTTTAGAACTTCATTGGATGTATAGTCTCCAGAGTGATCAGCGTCAGCCTTATTTTTTATACACAGAAGATTAACAAAGAAATAGGTAAACATTATGTGTAGCTTGGTAGCTCCTTTGGAGGAGGGGAAAAAGATTTTGTATGTACACATGCCCAGCACATACATATGTCTGCACACACAGTTCACATGACCCATTGTAATGTTCTACCACTCAGGTTTAAGTACATACATCAGAGAGGGCCCCCCTGTCTGCTACCAGGAGGCTCACTTGAGAGAAAGCCCTATGTTGGAGTCAGTCTTTGCCAAGAAATAGTCTTTTCCAAAGCAACATCTAATGCTGAGGCTTTGTGGTCTCTGTTTCCACAGTCTGCCTTTACATCAACAAGCAAGCCGACGCAGGGCCGTACCTGGAGAGGAGGAAGGTGCAGCAGCTCCCTGAGCACTTTGGGCCTGAAAGACCCTCGGCAGTTCTGCAGCAGGCTGTACAAGCATGCATTGACTGTGCCCACCAGCAGAAGGTGGTTTTCTCCCTGGTCAAGCAGGGCTACGGTGGTGAGATGGTATCAGGTAAGACCCTGGGGCAGGTTGTATAAAAAGAGTTGTAGGGGTCTCTCTAAAGAGAAAAGCAGTCATACTCGGGCTTGTGGTACATTGGTTTTGGCCAAGTCCTCCATATACTGGGCTCTGGGGACCTTAATGATCCTGTGTGCTGGAGGCCTCTCCCAGAGGTTGAGAAAAAGATGCTTCCAGATGTGGCAAGAATACTGGCAGGTGAAGCCTTGTCTTTGACTCTTCCTTTTCTCCTACCACCATATCCGTCCTGTCAGTAAATCCTATTAGCTCTACTGTCAAAACATACCCAGAAGCCAACCACCTTTCACTACCCACAGCAACAACTCTGGTTCTTTAAAAATATAATTCAGATCATGCCCCATCTCTCTCTAACTCCTCCAATGGCCCCATCTCACTGAGAGTAAAAGTCTGAGTCCTTACAAGGTGACCCAGCCTCTTTGGTCTGGTCACCCCTTTCCTCATCCTTCTCTCTGCTCTGGCCATGGTGGCCTCTTCCTATTCTTTCCATATCCTCTGGTCATGCTCCTGGTTTGAGTTCTTTGTACTTATCACTTCTCTTCCTGGGTGCTCTTGCACTAGATGTCTACCCGACTTGCTCCTACACTTCCTTCAGGTTTCTACTCAAATGCCACTTCATCAGAGTCCTGTCCCAACCACTTTGTCTAAAATTTCAGCCCCTGTCACTCTCTATTCTCACTTACTCTACTTCATTCTTGTTTGCATAGCACATATCACCATGCAGAGAATGGGGAAATCTCATGGCCTTCATCCCACCTTACAAAGGTATTTAAATAACAAAACAAGAGCCCTCAGAATCAGAAAAACATCCCTTGTCCATCAGCCCTCCAATTTCAGTCCCAAGCCAACATCTTCTGGAGGGAGCAGAAGTATCTGCCATCAAGCAAGAGGGGCCATCGGAACCCCCCATCAAGAGCTTGGCCCCCTTCAGATGTTTGCCTTTATCTTCCTCAAGGCTCTCTGCGTCATGAGTGCTACACCTGCCCTTATGCCCTGTAGTCCTGGACCTTCCACGGTGTCTCAATTCCAAGGGACAGCCTGGTGCCAGCTCTGGCCCAGCATCAAGGACAGAACCCCCATGTCACTGGGGAAAAGGAAGAAGAGTCCCTAATAATGTGTCAGTGCAGGTGACCCATTGGGTAGCTAAGAAAATAGGCAGGGATGGGGGAATGGGGAGAGTTTGCCTCTAAAATGTCCCAAAAAACCAAAGCAGGGGTATTTCGTTTAACTCCAGATCCAGAAGGCTTGAGGGGCGGACAGGGCATCCAGCATGGCTGGCCCAGCTCTGCCTGATTTTGCTCACCTAGAATTCACGGAGCAGAAGCTGCTGCTGAGTTACTAGTAACTGATTAAAACAGAACTTGGCAAGACCAGTTCCATGTGTCTGACCCAGGGTGATTTTGAAGAGAATTTAGTAGATGCAAGCAGTGAAATTAGATGCAAGGAGGAAGAAGTAGAGCAGCAAGAAAGGGCAGGAGGAGAGCCGTGTCATCAGGCCAGAAGAAAGCCCCTTGGTGGCACTTCTCCTGGTTTCTATCTGAGAGCCAGGTTCTCAATCCAAGGTTTCTCTCAAAGATCAAAGACATTTTTCCTTGCTAAGTAAAAAAGACTCAAGACACAGGTGTGGTGCTTGGGGAAAGCACCTTCTCTACTCTGTGCCCACCTGCCCTTGAGCACATCCTGTTCTCACGCCATTCTTTATGGTCCCTGCCCCTCAGCTGGGACAGCTGACCTTGTTTTCCCTGCTTTTTCTGCCCAGCCCTCTTTCTGTGGCCTCAGGGGCCTTGGCAGTGGGGAGGAGTATTGCAGTGCTTGGCACCAAAATGAGAGTGGGGCAGAGGCTTGCCAAGTTTCCTTTGGCTGAGGGAATTCCTCAAAGGCCAGAGCTGAGCACCCTGCCTAAGTGTCTTAGGAAGAGCATGAGCACCAAGGTGCCTCCTCATGCTGCCACCATGAAGTACTAAATGATTGCACAGTTCTTCATGTTATGGATGGTGAATCTGAGGGTCACTAAGGTGGTTTAGGGAGGGAGGGGGTTCCTGGAGGAATAGTCCAAATTCCCACTCTCCACTTAGATCCTAATCCTTGAAGCATGCTTTGCAATCATTCCCATGTCACAACACACAGAAATGGAAAACATTGGTGCTGGCACTATGGGGTCAAGGAGGTAAATTGTCCAGGGCTGGAAGAGGCTGTCTGGGCCTCAAACCACCTGGGAGTGGAGGGAAGTGCTATCGCAATACTTTGTAAACCCATTCCCAGCACACCTGTTAGGATGCTCTGCCTTAGCCATATTCTCTCTGAGGTGTCATTTTTATGATCTTACAGACTCCATGCCCTTCTCCAAGTGGTAGAATTTTCCTGCTTTGTGATCTACCAGGGGACAAGCCTGATGTCCTAAGCCCCTCCTGCAGTGGGCTTAGTTTCCATTGCACCATCTTTTAAGGTACAGGTAGTCCCCGATTTACAATGGAGTTCCGTCCCAATGACTTTGGCATAGGCTGGTTCTGATGTAAGTTAAATACCTCCTTTTTTCCCCCAGTTTTCATTATTATTGCCTTTTCTTGTCACTATCTTTATAAATATAAGTTTTATTTATCTTTAGGAATTGGAAACATTACATATAAACTTACAGATATATTTTAATACACACACACATAAAAAATACAATTCATAAAAATTTATTCCAACAGGGAAGAAAAGTTGAATGATGTTGACATTTTGTCAGTTGCTATCTTAACTCCACTTGTGGAAAGTTTTAGATCTTCTAGATTACCCCTGGGAATGGGGATGATATTTCTGGTCAGAAAACTAATGAGTGTTGTCTTTATGGTCCTTTTCTTTTTTCCTTCATATATTTCATGGTGACATCTCATGGCTTGCCATATCTTCCTATAAACTTTAGCAGAATAATCAATATTTGGGTCCATGTTTTCTAGCAACTGAAGTTTCTGATTTAGTTTAGAAAAAATTCTAGCTAAGCTTTTCACTGTAAAATTTGTTTACAATTTCTCTTCTTCTTCTTTCTCATGATTTTTTTTCTTCTTCAGCATTTCTTTCCTCTTTAAAATCCACTAAGTCCTGATCTGTCAAATCCTCTTCTTTGTGATCTACGAGCTGTTCCATATCAGTGATATCAAGTTCCAAAGTCAGCGTTCTTGCCATATGGATGATTCTTCTACCTATCTCTTCTATCATATTATACTGAGAAAATGCATGGAGTGTGTTCACATAACTCAGCAATATTTTCCAGATTCCCTGCATGCATTTTCCCATAACTTCATTCCAGGAAAGTGTATTAATGATAAAATGTAAAACACACAAAAAAGCTGAAATAAACCCAGGAAGTTGTAAGCATGGTTCATCATAACAAGAATACATCTTAAGTTGTGGACTACTTATATTGGAGGCAAGCGGCAGTGTTTCTACTACAAGGAAATTTCCAGAGCATCCAAGTGGTCAGGACTTAGGGAGACTCTTGGCAGGTGTTTGACTGGCTCTTCCAATCAAGGGGTATCAAAACTGATAGCCATATGCCACTTGGAGGCCACATGACCTGGAAATCTACCCCAGGTCCTCCCCTGGGTTTCCTCGTCTGTAACATGGGGTTTCCTCATCTGTAACATTTTGTCCACTGTCCTCACAAGACTGTAGGGAGCACTAAAGGGAGCTGAGTGTGAAAGCTCTTGTCAAACTGTAAAGAACTACATGAGAGATGGATTCTTCTGATTTCTCATTAGAATGAGTGTTTCCTTTTGAGTTCTGAAATAAAAACTATCTATGGTCACCACTAACCCAGTCCTGCCTCTGCCAGCCTTTGGGGAGATATAATGTAAAATGGTAAGGCTGCCTCCGAGGTATGGACATCTGAGTGGCAGTGACCGAGGTGGGAAGCAGAACATCCTATCTGGAGTCTTGTGTGTCCCCCACTGCTGGAGTTGGTGTGCAAGGACATGGGCTAGAGGGCTGTGAGGAGAAATGCAGAAAGGAACATGTTCTGGGCTAGAGGAAACTGTTGTTGTTGTTGTTAAGTGCCGTCGAGTCGTTTCCGACTCATAGCGACCCCATGCACAGCAGAACGAAACACTGCCCGATCCCGTGCCAGCCCCACAATCCCTGCTATACTTGAGCCCATCATCTCAGCCACCGTGTCAATCCATCTCGTTGAAGGCCTCCCCCTCTTTCGTCGACCCTCCACCCTACCAAGCATGACCTCCTTCTCCAGGGAATGGTCCCTTCTGACAACATGACCAAAATAGGTGAGACGAAGTCTGGCCACTCTTGCTTCCAAGGAGCATTCTGGCTGCACTTCCTTCAGGACAGATCCGTTAGTTCTTTTAGCAGTCCATAGTGCTTTCAGCATTCTCCGCCAGCACCACAACTCAAAAGCATCAACTCTTCTTCAGTCTTCCTTATTCATTGTCCAGCTCTCACATGCATACCAGGCGATTGGAAATATCATGGCTTGTGTCAGGTGCACCTTAGTCCTCAAGGAGATATCCTTGCTCCTCAGCACTTGAAACAGTTCCTTTGCAGTTGACTTTCCCAATGCTACACGTCATCTAATGTCCTGACTGCTGCTTCCATTGGCATTGATTGCAGAACCAAGCAACGTGAATTCTTTGACAACCTCAATCTTCTCTCCATTTATTGTGATGCTGCTCATTGGTCCAGTTGTGAGGATTTTTGTTTTCTTTATATTGAGATGTAGTTCTTACTGCAGACTGTATTCTTCAACCTTCATCAGTAGGTGCCTTAAGTCATCCTCACTTTCAGCAAGCAATGTTGTATCATCTGCATATCTCAGGTTGTTAATGATTCTTCCTCCAATCTTGATACCACATTTTTCTTCATATAATTCAGCTTCTTGGATTATTTGCTCAGCATATAGATTGAATAAGTGTGGAGAAAGGATACAACCCTGATGCGCTCCCTTTTGATTTTAAACCATGTAGTGTCCCCTTGTTCTGTTCAAACGACAGCCTCCTGGTCAAGGTACAGATTCCTCATGAGTACAACCAAGTGCTCGGGAATTCCCATTCTTCTCAATGTTATCTATAATTTGTCATGATCCACACAATCAAATGCCTTTGCATAGTCAATAAAACACAAGTAAACATCTTTCTGGTATTCTTTGCCTTGAGCCAAGATCCATCTGACAACAGCTATGATATCCCTTGTTCCACGTCCTCTTCTGAATCCGGCTTGAACCTCTGGAAGTTCTCTGTCAATATACTGCTGCAAACGTTTCTGAATTATCTTCAGTAAGATCTTACTTGCGTGCGATATTAATGATATTGTTCTATAATTTCCACATTCTGTGGGATCCCCTTTCTTTGGAATGGGCACAAATATGGATCTCTTCCAGTCAGTTGGCCAGGTAGCTGTCTTCCAAATCTCTTGGCATAACTGAGTGAGTGCCTCCAATGGGGCATCTGTTTGTTGAAATATCTCAATCGGTTTGCCATCAATTCCCGAGCCTTGAAACTGGTGCCTCTCTATTCTAAATTCTGGTAACTCACTGTGAAGAGGATTTTTCCTTTTATATAAACTCCCCCTCAGAAGGCAAGAGTGGACTTTGTGGTACTGGACTAGAGTTGGAGGCAACAAATGAACCCATGTTTATTTGAATATATGTGTGTATGTTGTTGTTGTTATGTGCTGTCAAGTCAGAACTGACTCACAGTGACCCCTCCTTGGGTTTCCGAGGTGGTATCACTGCGGAAGTAGATTGCCCCATCTTCCTTCTGAGGAGTGGCTGGTGGGTTTGAACGACCAGCCTTCTGGTTAGCAGTCAAATGCCTTAGGCACTATGCTACCAGAGCTCCCATGTGTATGTGTGTGTGTGTGTGTGTGTATCCGACTCGACAGCAATGAGTTTGGTTTTTATATATACAAATGTTGTTGTTGTTGTTGTTGCTGTTATGTGTCATTGAGTTGGATCTGACTCATAGCGACCCCCCCCCTTGGGTTTCCAAAGCAGTATCACTAAGGAAGTAGATTGCCCAATAGATAACAGAAATAAATATAGTGGGCTAGTATATAGACTCAGAAGGAAGGTTGGGCAATCCTACTTCCGTAGTGATACTGCCTTGGAAACCCAAGGAGGGGTCGCTATGAGTCGGGGCCGACTCGACGGCACATAACAACATAACAACAACAGTATATAGACAAAAGGGGTTCTGGTGGTTAAGTGTTCAGCCATTAACCAAAAAGTTGGCACTTTGAACTCCCCAGCAGCTCCATAAGAGAAGGATCTGGCGATCTGCTTCCATAAAGATTACAGCCAAGAAAACTCTATAAGGCCGTTCACCTTTATCATACGGGGTCACTATGAGTTGTAAATGACTAAATGACACCTAACAACAACAACAGTATACAGACATATGTTTCTTAGCTTTGTTCATTGAAAGGGCTAAGACCTGGTGACACCCCTGTAGCAATGATCACACCAGTGTCCATTTCTAAGTGACACTTTCTTTCTGAATACCACTCTTCAGTAAAAGGAATCAAGGCTCCTTGGAGAAACAGCTGATCCTGCCCCTGCCTGGGGCAGGCAATACACAAGACAAGTCCAAAAAATATTGTAGTGTCAGAAAATGAAGAGATACTAAAAAAAAAAAAAAAAAAAAAAGATGGTAGGTCATAAATAATGCAGGAGTCAGCCTGAAAAGCACCTAAAGATCAAATCTGGAACATTTAAGCAGCAAAATAAATAGCACAGTATTGAATTACCTCCAGTATAAAATACAATGTAAATAGGCAATTGACTAAATAAATAAATAGTAGAGAGGGAGCTAACCTTCCTTATAGAAGAATTCCAAATAATATGTACAATCTGTCCTCTCCAGGAGGTGGAGCTTAATGCCCCCACCACCCAGGAGTGTGGGCAGTACTTGTGACTTGTCTCCAAAGAATAGCATATGGTGAATACAATGGAGAAATTTGACAAATACTACCTTGGCCAGATGATCAGGTTAAAATCACTAATGGTAAGTCATGTGGATATCATGTAACCTCTGATATAATGTGAAGAGAAAGGCAATTCACTTCTATGATTTTCAGAACCCCAATTTAATCATGAGAGAAACATCAGACAAACTAAAACAACTCCAGGCATTTACAAAATACCTGACCACTACTCTTCAAAACTGCCAAGGTCATGAAAAACAAGAGAAGACCAAGAAACTGATGAGCATAGACTAAAGAGATATGATGACTAAATACAATGTGTTATAGATACAGGATTGGATCCTGAACATAATATATATTAATTATAGATTAATAGAAAATATAGATTATAGAAAATAGAAACAGGACATTAGTGAAAACTAAACAGGTGAAATTAAAATAGAAACCAGTTGTCATCAGTAGAATTTGATTCATGAAAGCCCCATGAGTGCTGGGATAGAACTGTGTTCTGTAGTGTTTTCAGGGGTAGAATTTTTTGGAAGTAGATCACTAGGACTTTCTTCTGAGGTGCTTCTGGTGGACTAAACCTCTAACCTTTTGGTTAGAAGTCAAGAACACTGATGGTTTGTACCACCCAGAGACGCCAATTCAATGAGAGCCTATTAAAAAACAAAACCAGAACCAAAACCAAACCAAACTCACAGCTATCGAGTCAATTCTGACTCATAGTGACTCCCTTGGGTTTTCAAGGTGGTAAATCTTTACAGAAGTAGATTGCCCCATCTTCCTTCTGAGGAGTGGCTGGTGGGTTTAAACAGCCAGCCTTCTGGTTAGCAGTCAAATTTCTTAGGCACTACGCCACCAGAGCTCCTTAAAAAGCAGTGCATGCGTGCACACACACACACACACACATACACATACTCTTCCCTAGGGCTGGCCCGCTGGTGGTTTTCTCCAGTGCCTAGCTCTTAGTTGTTTGATGTCTCTATGGTTTTTCAGTCTCGGCTTCCTTTGATGGAAAACAGCACCTGCGGAGTCTGCCTGTGGTGAATAGCATTGGGTATGTCCTCCGCTTCCTGGCCAAGCTGTGCCGAAGTCTCCTGTGTGATGACCTCTTCAGTCACCAGCCCTTCCCCAGGGGCTCTAGTGCCTCCGAGAAAGCCCAGGAGAATGAGGATGGGAGGACAGAGTCAGGTAGGTCTGACTTCCACCTGCCAGTAGGATGGTCCTGCAATCCTGGGTACCTCTGCCCTTCTGGAGCAAGTGAGGCTGCTGCTGGGGGGGTGGGGGGACACAGTTCCTCAAAGTTCTCCTACTAGAAGCCCATGGGCTCCCAGGGAATATTCAGGGCTGGCCAGGACGAAGGGGTCCCTAGATGGTCCCCACCCTAGGTTGTAGTTGGAAGAGGGCACTCAAGCTACCAAGTGCTGGCATAGCTTTTCACCAGTTGTCATCAAGTTGACCTTGACTCACAGTAACCCCACGTGTGTCAGAATGGCACTGTGCTCTGTAGGATTTTCAATGGCTGATTTTTCTGAAGTAGATCACCAGGCCTTCCTTCTGAGACATCTCTGAGTGGACTCAAACCTGGAACATTTCAGTTAGCAGCTAAGCATGTTAACAATTTGCACCACCCAGGGACTCATAGCCTGTGGTTAGAATTTAGGCATGAGACCACATCACTTAGACAGTCAATTCTCCTTATTTGTAGTAATTATGTTCTATCAAGGCCCTGTGAACACTGATTTAGCTATAAATATGGAACCACTCAACTTTTCCCCTGCTCTGCATGAACATGTCTCAAATGATTAAGAAAGCACAGCAAGTATTGATATTGGTGTTGTGAATAAATTTTAGTGAGTAGATGAGTTCACAAATACAGAATGCATGAATAATGAGGATCAACTCAATGCAATAAGTGACTTTCGCTACTCTCCTTTAATTGAGATTCTAAGCATTTATTCTTCATCAATGAGTAGCTGAAAAACTAGGAAACTTAGTTCTAAGGAACTAAGAAATTCCCAAGAAACTAGGGCTAAAGAATGGATTAAGTTGTTTCTGCCTGGGAACCTCATATGCCTGCTGGGTAAATAAAAGTTATAATAGTGTCGATTGTTGCAGAAATTTCACTGGATAATGTACCAACTATGTCTTGCTGTGACAGTGTTTCTCTCTTGTCACAGGATGGAAAGTGAATCAGAGATTGGGCTCCTTTTGAAACATCAGCTGCAGAATAGTTTGGGATGGAAAAGTGACCAGTGGGAAGGGCAGCAAGGCCACGTGGACCAACGTCTCACAATGTTGTTTGCAGAAGTAGCTAGATGCCTGTAGGAGGGGCTCTCTTCTCCACTTAGCAGACCAAAATGTTGGATTTCTGAAGGAGTTGAAAATCATTCCCGGTTCCCAAGAATGAGCAGAAATTTTGCCTTTTTCCTTTCTCTGGAAGCAGTGTTGTTGATATATGAACACATAAGCAGTGAAACTGGAATCCAGTCATTATGTCATTCTGCAAACATTTGCTACACCCTCCTCTGTTTCAAGTAGTGTGTGAGATATTGTCCTGGGAGAAGACAAATAACTGAGTGTAGGAAAGTTTTTGAAGAATTAGATGACCATTCTGAATAGTGAAAAACTGGTGCATACACACATATGTGCATACAGACAGGCTTACAGTGTTCAACAAAAGAGTAAGAGTGGCTAAACCTCCAACCCAGGAGAATAGCAGCAAAGGATAAACTTAGATTCTTACGATTTTAAAAAAATATTTTTTCAGATACTGTTAAGGACCTTACCTGTAATTTTACATTAATCTCTCAGAGACCTGGGAAATAGGAATAAAATTGACCTTTACAAAGTAAAGTACTTAATTTAATAGGGTTGGTATAAGCAAATGCTATCTACTTTTGTATTTTTCTTTATGTCTCTGTATATGAGCTTGGAAAAGTCTTCTAATCTCTCTGGTTGATATCTACTTGTTAGGGCCAGTAGGGGGAACTCTGGAAACCTGTAGAAGTAGGAACAAGATGTCCTGTCTGGTACTTCCAGGCTGAGAGTCACAGATGGAAAGTGGCAGAGGACAGCCCTGGCAGCAGCGAGGGGCCTCCCAGAAGGGGAGCTGAAGGCACCAAGACAAAGTAGCTCAGATTAGGAGCAAGTTCTCTTCCTTGGCAGCAGAGAAAGGACTTCTTCCAAATCTTAGACCTTTGAAATATAAACTCTTTCTCCAAATGATCTTTTTTTCTGTGTCTAGGGAAAACCTCTGATGGCATAGCACCTAAAGCATATGATTGCTAACCAGAAGCTGGTGGTTCAAACCCACCAGCCACTCCTCAGAAGGAAGATTGGGCAATTTACTTCCATAGAGACCCCTTCTTGATTCCAAGGAGGGGTGGGCATGAGTCAAATTGACTCGACAGTAGTGAGGTCTTTTTTTTCTTTTTAATTTTTTAATTTTTATTTTTAGGGAAAACCAGTCTCAGCCCACATAGCTACCTGAGTGCATTAGAATAATGGAGGCAGAAAGATGGAATTAATAATATTTATGGTTTGGTTGGGAGTCATGAAATGATCTTGAGGAAAATTTTACCTGAGTGTTTTTTAAAAAATAGGTCTCAATTATAAATGAGTCTTAGTCTGATGTTTCTCAGACTTTAATGTGCAAACAAACCATCTGGGGGATCTTGTTAAAATGCAAATTCTGATTCGGTAACTCTGGGGTGGGACTGGAGGGTTTGTATTTCTAACAAGCTCCCAGGTTATGCTGATGCTACTGGTCCAGGAATCACATATTGAATAGTAAAGCGTGGCCAGGCAGAGTCCTGCTGGTGGGGGCAATTTATTTCAGGTTTCAGTAAAACCAAGTCTGTCTGATGGTTCCTTCCCCTGTAACATGTTGCCACTGAGGATGTTTGAGTGTCCAGCACCCAACAGAGGTGTATGTATCTGCACTGGAGAAGAGAGGGGCATGAGGGAGGCAGAGGAGTCAGGGCTAGGTGGCACATGTGCAAATCCAAGTAAGAAAGAGGAGGTATGCAGTTCTAGGGATGGAATGAAAAACAGGAAGACATTTTCAGAGGGTGGACTGGCAACCACCTTCAGCAGGGTCTCTGGAGCTCTTTAAGTCTTCCTCAAGTCTATCTCTGTAGAACTGCATATTCACAATGGCATTTAATTCTGATATATATTTCAGGAATTTGGGTATAGATCTTATCTCCCTGTTAGATAGACTAGGGGCAAGACCATGCAGTCCCCCATGGAGCCTGAAACATAACAAGCACTCAATAATTATTTACTGCATTGAACTCTGTGCAACACAACAGAACAAATTGTCTGCTCACAAAGAGCAGGGGATCTTTTTTGGAAACCACAAATATGATAGCTAAACTCTTTTACAAGATCTGGTTTCCTGCCTTTTGAAGGTTTAGTGCAATGGAACAAAGTGTTTACTTTTCGTGGAGTATCTTCTTTGATATGTGATGGTTGGGGATGATGAAGAGCATTTGTTCTTGAGTCTTGATTTTTTTTTCCCCTTGGCTGATGTTCTTGGAAACAGGCACCAGACAACTATTGAGAATTACTCCACTATGTTCTGTTATGGTTGGACGTATATACCCAGCATTTAGAAATCAAATCTGCTTCCTTGTTGAGCTACAAAGATGTCCAATATGACAGCTCTACAGAATATGACAGGTGCTTTGGTGGCCTAGTGCCTAAGGCACTTGACTGCTAACCAGAAGGTTGGCGGTTCAAACTCACCAGCCACTCCTTGGAAGGAATATCGGGCAATCTACTTCCGTAGTGATACTGCCTCAGAAACCCAAGGAGGGGTCGCTATGAGTCAGAGACAAGTCAACAGCACATAATAGCAACAACAACAGAATATGACTATACAGATAATGTTTATCTTTCCACAAGATTATTTATTTCTGAAAGGGGTAGGGTATATAAAGTGGTATGAGTTCCATTACATAGACCCTTCCATTTAGCCAATCGGCAAACATTTCTTGAGCTCCCACTGTTTGTAATGTACTAAGGTGCACAGAGACAAGGATGCCCATTCAGAACTACAGAGAAAAACAGCAGTGGGAAAAAAAACTGAGCCGAGATCTTCTCGTCCCTGATCTTTTGCTTTTTCTCCCAGGCCCTGCTGTCAGTGGGGCCCTATTACCCAACACTTGCTGGGTAAGGTGTGCATTCCTATTTCCTGGCTCTGAAGGCTGGCTGCACAAAATGGGTGTCCACTAGTCATCTTTGACACATCTGTGCCACTTCTTCTAGCAAAGAAATAAAGGAACGAAAACAATCTCAGCCCCCATTTAGCGAATTTGAAATGGAAACTTCATTCCAAGCTTCTCCAAGTCTCCTATCTTCGCCCCAAGGAATGTTGAGTCTCTAATTGTGGAGTTTCCTTCTCCTTTGGCTCATCAATATTGAGTGACATCCATAGGACAGGCAAAGCCCATTGTCCCTGGTCACTAGGAAAACTTACTCATCTCTTCAAAACCCAAAGTGGGCTAGTCCACTAGTATTTTAAAAGCATAGAAAATGATGCAGGAGAAAAAAGACATGAAGGAAGGCATGCTACTTCAGACACCCTAGCAGTTGGTTGTCTACCAGTATAGGCCACATGATGGGGATATTGCAGAGCCATGCTTGTCTCATTACAGACATGAACTGCATGAACAAAGTTGGCTGTCTGGTCCTCAATGAAGCATGGAAAGAGGGTCATTTGGAAGAACAAAGTATCAGTGGAAATTTCAGGTCTTAAGAATTCAGACAGAAAATTTTGAAGGAAAAGTTAAAGAAGATATTCCACAAGTTCTATAGCAAATACAGAGGCACTCACCGATTTTCAGACAGATGGGGCCAGTGGAAGTATAGCCAGAGCCTTTACAGAATGGAGGGACTGTTCTCAAGTATGAGATTTTCAGTCCTAGTTCTGCCTCTGTGCCACCTTAAGCTTATTTTTGTTGTTGTAGTTAGCTGCTGTTAAGACAGCTCCCAACCCATGACCATCCCATTGTGATGATTAAGGTTGAATGTCAACTTGGCTGAGTCATGATTCTCTATGGCTTGGCAGTTAGGATGTAATAATTCTTCATGATGCAGTCTGATATAATGTAATCACCTCCATGATGAGATCTGCTATGAAAAACCAATTAGTTGAAAGGAAGTTTCCTCAAGGGTCTGTTTCC